ACACTTCCGAAGTAAACCGGATAGTGAGTTATTCACTAACCGCCCCACGTGGTTGGATGCGGAAGAAGGCCAAATTTATTGTGGGGTATCTGAGCCCGTAGGCCCGGGCAAAAATTCCTCGTAGACCCCGTAAAAAACGGGGTCGGGTAGATGTCTACCTCCCCAGACGAGACTATGCCCTTCGACATAGCCTCATCTGGATTTCTCTTTTCCCAGGGACAGAGAGTTTGACAAGCACACTTCCAAAGTAATCCGGAGAATGTTCACTTAGACGCCACGCTAATTCCCATATATGCATTTCCTTTACCTTTATTTATTCAAAATGGAATCGCCTGTGCTTGCTCTCTTGTGATCTGTGTTCAAACCCCAGTGTCGGTTGCGACACTTTATTTCTATATAACAGTAAATATTTCGAAGAAAATTAGATGAAATTTTCATGTTATATTTATCATGTAAGCATACTCTGAAAATAATTTCGCACAAAATTGAAAGATATCTTTATTGTTTATTTTCTTTATCATACAGCAAATTAAGGAGACTGTGAAGTTATACTTATTGCAATGAACACTTGAAACTTGCAAGCAGACATTTGCCATTGAAAATTCGTTCCTGTCATACGCACAATTCAATCTGTAGTAATCAATAAAATGATATGACTTTCAGATGAGATATAAAGTAAATTTGGAGAAAGATTAAAATCAGTCAGAACGCATTGCGTTAAGCAGTCAGTAGCAGCTGCTGCTGGTTCGGTGAAAGCTAGATTTGAAGTTACTGGTTATTTTGCTCGTAAACCAAGAAGAATTCAATAGAACACTTACTTTTACAATAATATTTACGCTGTACAAGGCCAAAGGGCCACTCGAGGTAGAGGGTTAAAGATTAAGAGGCACAGTTTATGTGTGAGTAGACAACAGTTAAGTGTATTTGAAATGGTAGATTTAAACATTATTGTATGTTATTACTATTTGTTTTTAAGTTAGAAAGGGAGAAATGTCCTTCTCACCTCACGTTGTGTATAGTGACACCGCCTCACTACGCTAGTATCGCTGTGGTTTCCGTTCTAACCTGGCGTCTTACCGAAATAAGATGGTTTCCCTCTGTCTTTTCTAAAAATATTTTCATGGCAAATGTTCTGATGAGCTTTCCTTCTTGGTGCCACGCATGAGGTTAAGCTTACTACTACTGCTTTATTACATACTATTGATCATCCAATGAAAGGCCCAAGAGCAACTCAAGGTAGAATGTTACTGAAGGAGGATTGAAGGGAGGAAGTATTGTGCATATTATGAAGATATGTAGTATATATAACAGTTGACATTAGACTATTAAGTCTAAGAGGTTAAGTTCAAAGTGATCAAGGAAGCATCCTCTTGGGAGCCGGCTCCACAAAGTAGCAAATTCTGAAGTGGAAGCTGTTTTGAATGGAACTTCTTTATTACAAATGGAATGCGAAACGAATGAGGCAGAGTCGACCCTGAGTACGTGGCATGGCGGGTCCTAGCCGTGAAGGTCTGAACTGGCGGAATTAAGGAATGTAGCTCGTCTGAACATCCACAATGGAAACAGTGACAGAGAAGCGAGAAGCCAACAACGTTTCGTATGAGGGTTGCAAGGGGTGGGGGCTAATTCATCACCCACAAGGCCGCGTAATCGCTTTTGAATTCTATCAAGGCTGGAAAGAGAGGATTGGGCAGATCCAGCCCAGATATGAGAACAATTTTCGGTCTGATCTAGCCCTTGTAAAAGTAGAGCATAGCAGGAGGAGTCAGGGACTTTCTGAAGAGGTACAAGGAACTGAAAATTTTACCAGGCTCTTTAGCCATGAATCGTATATATGAGGTCAACTCGAGATCTGGAGTGAATTTGAGTCTCAATAGACGTTCAAGGCAAGGAGCCTCATTGAGAGTACAATCGTTCACCAGGACTGGAGAAAACATCTGCGTCTGTTCGATGATAATGAAACGATACGTTGATGTATGGCATGAGATTCTGAAACCTGACGTTATATAGTGGTAGGAATATACGAGTTCAACTTGAGGTCTGAAGTGAGCTTGAGTTACAATAGACGTTCAAGAAATGGAGCCTCAATGAGAGTACAATCGTTCATCAGGGCTCAAGAAAAACTTAGGTGATCAGTAAACGTTACTAACTCAAGTTATTCAATGATACAAGCCAGTCTTTTCCCCATGGAGTTTGAGGGTATGGTCAGAGGTGAGATCAACTACTCTGGTCATGTAGATTTTTGGAGGTGTACCCATAAACCATAGTATCGTCTGCATATATATTTAGTAAGATATGAGAATTATCTTAGGCAGATCCTTAATATAATATAGCTGAAAAAGTGTAATACCAAGTAGAGAGCCTTGGGGAACGCCAGCAATGCTCTCATGTCTTCACGACAAGATAGAGTTAATCAAGCTTGCCACCAGTAACGTAGAATATTTTTTTGCTGCCTTACATATATCAACTGACAAAATGGCGTCTGACACAAAAGTACGTACGAAGTATATGTGTGTCGTTAAATTTTTCAAACTGGAAAAAAAAAAATGCACCAATTAACATTCATGAAGTTTTGCTGAACGGGAGACCAAATAGAGGATGTGAACACAAGAGGTTGGTGAACGAAGTGTGCGGCAAACAACATTCTGTTTGATCGCTGGTAGAAATAGATAGCCAATAGCGCTGATTATATGGAAAATTTGTTTTGTAGTTGTAAATTTTCTGCTCTATTCAACAGCACTATTGTCTTCCCTGTATCTGTTGTCACTTTCGGGGAAATAAATAGGAGATATTACTTTTGTCGAATCCCTATACTATAATACTGGAATAATATCCGTAAAATTGATTGGGTTATTTACCTATAGATATATTATACAAAAAATAAGTCACATACGCCAAAAGAAATATATTATTATGATGATTTTCTAAAACTCGTCATATTTTCTGATATTTAAGAATTTTTAAATATTGTCCCCAGTAGTGATAAAACCAGCAGTAGTTGTCGACTTCAAGTGAACACACAAACACAGTAGAGCCCATTTTTCTATAACCCTGCATATTATCTGATATTTAATCATTTTTAAACATTGTCGTAGTAGTGATAAAACCAACAGTAGTTATCTACTTCAAGTTAACACACAAACACAGTAGAGCCCATTTTTCTATAACCCTGCATATTATCTGATATTTAATAATTTTTAAACATTGTCGTAGTAGTGATAAAACCTGCAGTAGTTGTCTACTTCAAGTGAACACACAAACATAGTAGAGCTCATTTTTATATCGCCTCGCATATATTATAATTTTAAAACACTCTCGTAGTAATGATATAGCCAGCAGCAGTTGCCTATGTCAGATGAATATGCAAACACGGTAGAGACCAATTTTCTATAACTTCATATTTCTTTTTATTTAATAATTTTAAAACATTGTCGTATTACTGATATAACCAGCAATATTTTTGTACTTCAAGTGAACGCACAAACACGGTAGAGCCCGTTTTTCAGTAACTTCATATTATCTGATATTTAATAATTTTAAAACAATATAGTAACGAAACTCGGGCATCATCTTCATCATTAGTTCTAGTAATGAGTTTACCAGCAGCAGCTGCCTACTTTAAGTGAACAGTTTATTTTTGCCTGTCTGTTTGCAGTAGATCTTACCTCTCTTGCCTTTTCTTTTAGAAAACCAACAGACAAAAATTTGACAGCGGCTTTTTGTTTTAAAATAATATATATATTTTTAATGAGATTACGTTTACTTGATTACTGTACTATTTGCCCTAAATAAGTGTTTTCTGTTAATTTTTTTTTTTGTTATAGAAAATACTGACAAGCATATCAAGTTTTTGTTTTCTATCACTATATGTCTACATAGGTTTATTTTTTAAGCCCTGTTTTATTTGACAGCACGAATTATATTGTTTGAAATTACCCATCGATTACTAAATGTGTTGAGAACTGTTTAAAACGGAAGTAAGTCCCTTTTCGACAAGTTGGTCGGTAGATTAACCTATTATGTGATTCAGGTTGAGCAACGAAGGTGAAGTGTGCTTCATTTTTTTTTTTTTTTTTTTTAAGGTGTGATCTGGAAAAAAACGAAACGGTTTTTTTTTCATAGGAATATCAGTGACCGTTATTCAAATTGTATCATTTGGGTGCCACTTGATGGCGTGTTTGGTCTGATTGTGTGTCAGTAAATGATGTTCAGTTTTTGAGTCTGGCTTGGAGATGAAGTGTTGTTTGCTAAAATATTAATTTTGTTTTGTTTTTCGTCTTTTCTTTTTTTTTAAAAATAAAACAAAAACAATGTTGCGTATACAATAAGTCCGAGTGAATAGGAAAAATAGCAATCGACTAATTAACGTACAGTAATAAAAAGACAAAAAAAAAAAAAAGCTTTAAAAATGCACTATTAATGTTTGAATCCATTGTCTGGTTCGGCCATTAGTTTTGTAATAGTCATTATGATATACGGACTGACGACTGCTTGATTGCCCGGACGCCCTCAACAATTTATCCACACATGCAAACATTCACAAAGGTAGTAAATTAAATTCAACTTAATCTGCCTCTTACAAGGCATCAGATGTGTCACACTTACTGGTTGATTGATCGAACATACTTGCAACACCTTGTGTGATGCGCTCATTAACAAACACTCTACGACTGACATGCTACGAAAAGTAGTTATATAAGGAAAATATATTTGATGGTCATGGAATTGTTTTGTGTACAGGTTCTCTTACAGGAAAAACACATCACGTTCAAGCGCGCACGTACACACATTTACACGCACATACACACGCACATACACACACAAGCCCCTTCTTCCCTCTGGCGCACACGTATATTCACACAAAAATATACACACATTCTGGAGACTAAGAATAAATACAGAACGTTATGTAAACGGAATATGAAGGAACTGGATTAGAGAAATCCCATGAGAGAAATAATGTCCTTTTTTTTTTAAATTCTTTTTTTTCAGTTATATAAATGAAGGTTTATTCTTGGGATGTATGTACAATTTATTTTTCTGACACACTCTTTATTTCTTTCTTTCTTTTTTACTTTCTTTTCTTTCTTTTCACTTGCCCGTTTAGATTCTTTCTTTCTTCTTTCTTTTCTTTTCTTTTTTTTCCTTTTCTTTCTATTCTTTTATTTTCTTTATTTTCTTTCTTATCATTTGTCCGTTTAGATTTTTCTTTCTTTCTTTCTTTCTTCCTTTCTTTCTTTCTTTCTTTCTTTCTTTCTTTCTTCCTTTCTTTCTTTCTTTCTTTCTTTTCTTTTTTTTCCTTTTCTTTCTATTCTTTTATTTTCTTTATTTTCTTTCTTATCATTTGTCCGTTTAGATTTTTCTTTCTTTCTTTCTTTCTTTCTTTCTTTCTTTCTTTCTTTCTTTCTTATTGTACATTTTTCTTTTTCTTTCTGTCTTTCTTTTTTCTTTCTATATTCTCCCTCCCCTTTCTCTCTTCTCCCTCCCTCTTTCTTTCTTTCTTTCTTTCTTTCTTTCTTTCTTTCTTTCTTTCTTTCTTTCTTTTATTAATTCTTTCTTTCTTATCATTTGCCCGTTAGATTCTATCTTTCTTTTTTATCATTTGCTCGTTTAGTTTCTTTCTTTCTTTATTCCTTCTTTGTCTCTCCTCATTTACTCGTTTAACTTCTTTCTTTCTTTCTTTCTTTTTCTCATTTAGGTTATTTTTTAAATTTTTTTTTATCATTTGCCCGTTTAGTTTCTTTCTTTCTTTCATTCTTTCTTCGTCTCTCATCATTTACCCGTTTAAGTTCTTTCTTTCTTTCTTTCTTTCTTTCTGTTTTTATCATTTACCCGTTTAGTTTCTTTCTTTCTTTCTTTCTTTCTTTCTTTCTTTCTTTCTTTCTTTCTTTCTTTCTTTCTTTGTCTCTCATCATTTACCCGTTTAAGTTCTTTCTTTCTTTCTTTCTTTCTTTCTTTCTTTCTGTGCGTGTATATACATCATTAATATTCATGAGGTCGAGATCTTCGAAAATAGTAATGAGTAATATCAACTGTAGGTGGCGCTCCTACGCTATGATAATAGCAACACGCCTCCAACCTAACAAGGCAATAAAACGTCATTCATTCTATATATAAAAAAAAGGACATAGTAGGGGGCAGAGAATTTCAGTGTCCTTTTACGTTCACACAGCGTCTCCCCTTTCATTCAGTTGTGTGATAGAAAGGCTCGTATATCACATTGTCTAACAATACTAAGACGTCGTCCTCGGGTGATTGATTTCGGTTGTCCCGCCCGCTGCTATAATCTCTGGAAGACTTTCGCACATTCACCATCTGTATACTGTAATATTTCGGATCTGAAGGGTCAATCTGCGTGTTTCCCCGACTGAAGCTGTTTCTTGAAGTAGAATTTGTTGCTGCTGGTCCTGACGACGTAGATGCAATCGGATCGTGTTGGGTTGCAGCACCGTTTCTTTCTTCCGACTCGATTCCAGAATCCGTCCCCACTGAGCTCGGTCCTGAAGAAGGATTTGTATTAATGATGAAATTTTCGGCAATCTCTTCATAGATCCCTTTTTGGTAATCGCTTTGACTGCTGACCGATGCTCGACTCCCGGAACCTCTGGATTTCGTGGTCCCTTCTTCGCTGAAATACGGCGATTTCCTGCCAGGCAGTGCTGGCAGGGAGCGAGCGATGTGGAATTTGAATTTGTCTGCAAGTGGTTTTAGGTTGTCGGCCTCGCTCTCCTCGACCTCCGCATAGGCAGCAGAGCCGCCGTAGCTGTAACCTCCGTGCATCTTGGCTGCTTCCGGAAACGGAACTTCATCGGCCACGTGACTGTATCCTTCCTGAATGGTAGGGTGCAAGTTCTCGGAATCATGAATCGACCCCAAGCCGTTTGGATCACCGCGGTGTACGTTCTCCACACGCCGGGTGGTGGGCGTCTGTACGGCTGCATCTTTTGCTAATACCGCCTTCGTCTTCACCACTTTTAGCCTTCTGCAAAACAGAAGAAAGAAAAATCAGCTACTTCTTTTTGAATTTTCTGGAATAGCAAATATACGAAACAAATTATTTAAAGACATTGATTCTTCTATTGGTTGAACATTAGTATAAAATAAAATATCGTTTACCGCAATAAGCAATAATGTCAGATTAAAAAAAAAAGCATTCATTTAAAAAGCGCAATTCTTATCTGTCATCGCATTTAATAAGCTATTTTTTTAACAGCAAATGTATAAGACAAATTATTTATTCCAATAGCAACAAATGGTCAACAGAAAAGGGTGCTATAAGCTTTCATTTGATGGAAGAGAATCTATCAAGCTGATATTTTATTTACCTTCAGTCGTTTTTTATAATCGCTTAAAGGCTGTCAAGGGCGGCCGCTAAGCTCGATGACAAGTCACTCTGACTTTCAAAATTTATTAATTTATTCTATAGTAGGTCGAAGGACAAAGTGTCGAAAGACACAACTTTTTGCCTTATTATGGTTTCTTTGTCTGCTTTTGTCATATATATATATATATATCTGCTTTTGTCATATATATATATATATATATATATATATATATATATATATATATATATTGGTTTTCATTTACACAATGTTTCGGCTTTCTTCAGTTGTCTGTTCCTTGTTGATAACACTTTATTCAATCTACTGGTGTAGATTGTTCAGCTTATTGAATACAAATTTGACAGGTGACCTACAGAAAGTAATAAATTAAAACAAATAAAAAACAAATTATAGAGTGCACCTGTGCATCTTTTCAGCTAAAGAATAAAACGAATTTGTAAACCCACGATAAAAAAAAAAAAGCTATATTTAACTTTCGACAAAATTTCTCGTAACAAATTCTTCTTCACTGCTGACCCTTTCTCGGTTCGACTTTTTATTATTATTGTTGTTACAGTGATATTCACACTGTACAAGGCCCGAGTATCACTCGAGGTAGAGGTGTACAGAGTAAGACGCATAGAAGTGGTTAAGATTGTAGTGATCGGGGAAGCATCCCATTGGGAGTCAATTCCACAAAGCAGTGGTTTGTGGGAAGAAGCTAATTGAATGGAATATGCCCATAACCACACACACACACACACACACACACACACACACACACACACACACATATATATATATATATATATATATATATATATGCAGACAAACCTCTCATCAATGGACTAATAACAGGGGAGGGAATGGTACGTTAAAGCCGATTGTCCGTAGATGGGAATTAATTATTTTTGAGTTATAAAACCACTATAGTAACTACCAGTAATTATGATCATAATGTAAATACTATAAACATGTATATGTTGTATAGATAAATATTTACTTAATATAGAATATTATCAAATATATTAATATAATATTAATCAAAATAAAAATAATAGATTTCTAACAGCTACTTTCTCAGGTACACGCTAATGACTTTGCGTCTTTGTTTACAATTGAAAGGCCCACCACCGCCACCATGCGGTCACTTTTAGAAGTAATACGACTCGTTCCACTAAGCCCGCAAATTTTGAAATACATCGCTGACGATTTGGAAGTTTTTTTTTTTTTATTTTGCCTGCATATTTTGCCCGTTCTATCGAAGTACGTTGATGGGGGCGTCCGTAGACTAGAAGTTTGTCTTTTATATATATATATATATATATATATATATATATATATATATATGCAAATATATAGAAAAATAGGAAAGAACCTTTAGGTTAATAATCCGAAGTTCTTTAGAATTCTTGTTTTTTATTAAAAAAAAAAAAGTGCTCAATACATAAGTAGAGCCTAAATCATATTTTAAAAAATAATTATAAAAAATTAATTATATATATATTTATTTAATGTATATATATATATATATATATATATATATATATATATATATATATATATATATATATAATGTTAAATATAATAAGCAGATGTTTCATCTTAGTCGAATCATATATGGATTGTCTCTGGTGGATGATGTTTTTTGGGAGCTAATATTAAGATTGACGCACTTCGCAATAGAAACAAACGCATTAATAAACAGATAAAAATGTAATTAAATAATTATACTTTACCTGTATATTATCACAACTAGAATCAGGAGAATAATTGCCAGCAACGGGGCGACGATTCCAAAGATTAATTCTAAAAAAGATAAAAGAAAATTGGTTAACATACAACGATCAAAGCTTTATTAATATATATTAAATATGTATTTAAAAATATTCATATTGAAATACAAGTATTTATTCCTGAATACTTTAATCTGTCCTTAAATTTGTTCTTTAAAGGTCATTCCACCCAAAGTTGATTTTAAAATATTCCAGGAATATATTTCTGCCACATAGTCCTGTACTCCTGCTATGTATTTAGATATATTTGATAACATCCAAAGAAGAGTCTGTTATGTTATTGATCCTGACCTGGCATCTCGTCTTCAGTTACTTTTCCAACGCCGTAACGTAACTTCCATGTGGGTTTTTCTATAAATACTTTCATGGTAATTGCTCTGATCAACTTTCCTCTATGGTACCCAGACTTTATGTGCAGTACTAGATTGGCAGCAAAATCTCACCATTTTACTGTTGAAATGGTTAGATGTAACCGTAAGTTCTATGTTAACAGTTTCTTCTCTCGCCATGTCTCGCTTGTGGAACTCTCTTCTGTATTCTTGCTTCTCAGGAAAGTTTGATCCTTAAAATAGCAGTGTGTATTTTTTTTTTATCTTACAATTCTGTTAATGTACATGTTATAAAAGGGAACAATTTACTCCGTAATATTACAAGTCATATCACAAAGGGAAGTTACACACGTGTTGTCTTCTTGACACCTCTTGGACGAAGATATTGAATATTACATCCTATGGCGGGATGTCCGTATTTCCGGCAGGAACAGTTTTTGTTGCATGCTGGGAGTAATTTTATTAATTTTATTTAATTTATTTTAAACAAGGTTTAAACGTTATTTTTTTGTTTTATTTTATTTATAATTTTCATTATTATTATCATTTTATATTTTATTTTTATTTATTTATAAAAATAATGATATCCTCTTATCTTAATAATAGATTCTCTCGATAACTCAATAATAATAATAATAATAATAATAATAATAATAATATATATATATATATATATATATATATATATATATATATATATATATATATATATATATATATATATATATATATATATATATATATATTAATCCGTGGTATTTTATTATTTTATTATCTATTTTTAGTAGATACCCATATTTCAGTAGATGCTCTGCTTATTTATTTAAATGAAACAATTCGAGACATTACAATAATATGCATTCTTCGACAGGATACGTACCAAATTTCCCCTAGGGGGAAACCGTCATTAGATCTGGTGTGCATTGACCTCTCGGATACAGAGAACCTGATGGTCAAGCAAAGCCCGAATACTGCTTTTAAACACGGTATATAGTTTAATAAATAAAGAGAGCATCTACTCAAATATTGGTATCCATTAAAAAAATCTTATTAGGAGTATTTGATAATTATAATGAAATAATTCATCGAGTCTGAAAGAAATCTCAACAGAATGCAGAAAGCACTGGACGGCCGTTTCGTCCTATATTTGGGACTCATCAGCAATGCGCATCCACTACCGAGAATTGAAACCCGGGCAGTTAGGTTATCAAACAAACATCATATTAACTGTTCCAATTGGTCTCAACCTAGCTATCCGGGTTTCAATTCTCGGTAGTGGATGCGCACTGCTGATGAGTCCCAAATATAGGACGAAACGGCCGTCCAGTGCTTTCTGCATTCTGTTGAGATTTCTTTCAGACTCGATGAATTACTTAATTATATATATATATATATATATATATATATATATATATATATTTCTCAGAGTTAACCTGTAGAAAAAGACAATATTTATAAATGTAAAAGACAACAGGAAAATTGTAATATTAGCCGACGCGTTTCGTCTAATGTAGACTTTTTCAGGGCAAAAACGAAATGAATTTATGAAAACAAAGTAACTAATAACAACAAAACAAAATGTCCTTAGCAAATGAAAGAATTTAGAAAATGCTATTATATAATTTTCAGTTGACAATATGAAAAAATAGCGTATTCTAAATTATTTTATATATATATATATATATATATATATATATATATATATATATATATACTCATGAATCAACATCAGTAGTAATATACAATGTAGGTAGAAAAAGTTAGAAATATTATACTCACGGAAATCATCAGTTTTAACTGCAGGTTTTATTGCGTTCTCTTTGTCCCTGGTTTTGTTAGTTTCCATGAATGGGTGTCCAGGGGCTTTAAAATAAGGAATGAATAATTCATAAATACAAAAAAACGTGCAGGTTGAATTTCGTGAAGGCTTCTGATGTTTGTGTGCGTGTGTGTGTGTGTTGCACCTGTTCACACACCCCATGCACACTGCATGTAAATATTATTAAAGATTTTACCAACATCTAAGTTTACGGCGAGGTTATCTCCATTTAACAACAATGGATCAAAATGTATATTTCGTATGTACACAACACATAATGAGCAAAGCACTCTGGGAAAATCTGACATTCACAGGACAAGATAAGAGGGACAGAAAGGAACATGAATAACCAATCTAATATCCCTTGCTAAGAGTTCCAGAAGTCAAAGAGGCAATAATTACTTAAAGGAAGAAAAGATGGGAAGTTGTAGAGAGCTATGATCGCCCACATCTTGACGGAATACGACACATAGAAGAAGAAGACGTACATAACATGGATATCTCAGCATAGGATAAATTAAATCGAGCTAGTCTGATTTACTGTTACTAATATAGTGACTTCAATCTACACTGCGTGCATTATATACATGGCCTTGTGCCAAACTAAAGTAAGTTTAGCAAACTGTGGAATAATGATTAACGAGCTAATCAGGCGAGGATCAAATACTACAGCGTAATGAGTTCGATACTCCCCGGGTACCCTATTCTTATGCCTGCTGTCTACCAGGGCGTGGCAGGTGATTTCTCCTCTGACCTAGCCCGAACTGCTCAGTGGGGAAAAAATTAGCTGATGACAGTCATTGCCTCGAAAACCAATATTCCAGAATTGCCTATCGGACACGGAACATTTGTTGTATCACACCTACGGACGATAATGGGAATGTCCCCATTCACATAAATACAGTAGTAAATACTGTATGTTGGTCTGCAGTTGGAGATTCGTCTCCAGCTGTGCTGGTCAAACTCTCTGCCTCCGGGCGGAGAAGATCCCCAGATGAGGTTATGTCGAAGGGCAGAGTCTCGTCACGTGAAACACCTACCCCATCCCTTTTATACGGGGTCTACAGGGAATTTTTAGCCGAGCCTATGATCTCAGATACCCGACATTAAATCCGTGCCACATCTGACCACGTGGGGTGGTTGGTAGATATCCTACAGCTAGAGATTCTCCGAACAAAGAGGATCCCCAGACGAGGCTATGTCGAAGGGCATATTCAGCTACCCTACTCCGTTTTATACAGGGTCTATGGGGAATTTTCGGCCGAGCCTGTAAATTCGGCCTTGTATCACATCTGATCGTGTGGGGCGGTAGGTAGATATCCTGCAGGATTATCATTTCAACTTAATACTTAATATCATTTCAGCTAAATACATTCTTATTGTTCAAAGTAGAGTTCAATAGTATTTTAAAAACCCCAGAGAATTCCAGTAAGATATCTTTAATCATTTCTAAGATACAGCGGTTCAAATGGACAATTTTGCTGTTACCCGATTTGGACAATTTTGCTGTTACACCCGGTATATATACATACACCTACTCACTTGCTTCCCCTTGTAAGTTTTACGGGGATATTTTAATCTTTTATCTGATAAAATCGCCTCATAAATATTCCTATTATATTGTTTATACAGAATTTTCTTCCTTGTCGAAGATCCCACTGTCAGATTAGTCAAACCTAACCTTGCCTCTCGGCTGAAATTGTTGCCTATTCTATGAGATTCTCGGCAAAGAGTCTTGGAGCTCTACATCGCGAAAACCTGCGTTAAAAGCCCCCTCCTCTTTATTTCCACTCATTTCCATTTATATTGCAGCGAAATTTAATAAATACTGAAATAACACAGGCGATGAGGCAAATGATTTTTTTTTTAGTTGGTATTCATTTAGAATTGTAATTGATTTTTACGAAGAAAGTTGCAGGAAAGAGAAGAGTGAAGTGAATAAAGATATGAGTCAAGGATCTGAATTAGTGTTTTGCGCTGAACGTTCAAGGCCTGAAGTAGTTTAAGGGGAGCTTACTAATTACGCTCCATAAGTAAACTTAAGAGGGTTCGAATTTCACTTGGAGATATATTTTTAGTTTTGACTTACCAATTATATATATATATATATATATATATATATATATATATATTTTGTGTGTGTGTGCTTGAGACAGCGATACATATATTTATATGTATTAAAGACAGTTTTATGTTTAACGTTTTTTTTTATAGATACAAGTATTTAAGTAAATGCTCTAGTATTAAATAACATTTACCGGCCTGAATGTCCGAGAAATTTTCATAGAAAATATTCGTCCTTTGAAAATTTTTCTATGAAAATTTCTCGGACATTCAGGCCGGTAAATGTTATTTAATACTGTTTATTATAAACAGAGCATTTACTTAAATACTTGTATCTATAAAAAAGAACGTTAAACATAAAAATGTCTTTAATAAATAAATTGTCGGACTTTGTCCATTTCTTAATATATATTTATATATCAAGAATAATATTATGGAAAATGTATGATAAAGTTGAAAAAGGTTTCTTGTGAGGCATTTCGTCATTTAGGACTTCAGACTAAATTTATTATGTTGGTTTTAACTACACAGGCAAAAAAAAAAAAAAAAAAAAATTAAATTCCCAGCATCCCTCATTCGTGCCCATGTGCAGTCACGCCAACATTAGGACGAAACGCGTAACAAGAAAACTTTTACACTTTCTCATATATATATATATATATATATATATATATATAAAGAAATATACTTCTAAGGTGTGCTATATTTATGGGATAAAGTGCTCAATATCAGAGATAGAGCGTATGTGAATATAAATATAAATGTAAACATTGAAGTCAACAATCAGAGGCCGTCACTGGATTTACATTGAGCTCTCTGGATGTTATCCTCCTTAGGTTTACCCATACGGATTACCTAGTTTTTCATAAACTAACTAACTAACTAACTAACTATATATATATATATATGCACAGTACTTAGTTGAAAGTGCTCAATATCAGTGATAGAGATAACATATTCAGTTGTATGGATTTTAGTCTGTGTGAACATAATCAAACACTAACACAAACACACTAACATAATCAAATACAAATAAGCAAAAATTGATCTGTTTTTAAAAAAAATAAACAAGTTTGTCTGATGATCGCAAAAGCGTTAAACCCAGAGTCACGAACCAATATCCATACAAATGAATATATATATATATATATATATATATATATATATATGTAATGGTGTATTTGAGCAGCAACCGCTCTTTTATAAAAGATTCATTAAAGACGATTAAGCGATTAAGCTTTTTATTCAATTTTTCTTAAGTTCGTCTAACTTTTTTTCTGGTTATAAAATGTGTAAAAACTGTTCGAATTAGCCATTATCCAGGAAGCGTCAACGATTTTTCTCGAGAAATTTCGTAGAGAATATGCGTTCTCCGACAGGAGTCGATCGTGAAAAATTGTCGAAGATCGCGTGTGTATAAACAGTAATTCAGACTTTGGTAACCAGACGCTTTTCTGTAGCTGAATAGTGCAGCACGTCAGGCCAAATCACGGTTTCCGTATAGGAATACAGGTCCGATTCTTGGTGGAGAACGCATAATTCCTATGAAATTTCTCGAATAAACAGACCGGTAAATGTAATTTATACTGTCTAATTAAAATCAGAGCATTTACTTAAATAAATTGTATCTATAAATATACCGTATAAGCAGAATATATATATATATATATATATATATATATATGTGTGTGTGTGTGTGTGTGTGTGTGTGTGCAGCAATCCCTCAGGTTTCATTGAAGACAACTGATTTAGCACGGTCAGCCCAACTGAGGAATACACATTGCGTTTTATATATGTAAATTATTATGCTGGTCGGTTTTGTTTAGCGACGTATCCACCTCTATGGGTTACTTCATTTCCGATATCTAAATATTTTGTCCACAATTATTATTATTTTTTTTTTACAGATAATAATGTTTTAGTGATACACGTCTTACTTATTAACCCATAGCTGGAGGGAGAAGAGGTGGATTCATATTTTTCCCAATGGTATTTGCGAGTAAATATATATAACGAACACAACTGGAATCGGAACACGGCTCTCCGTTTAACAATTCCGAGTCATTATCAATTACACCACCCGCACATCCAAGCTAACAGCACCTGGTATTCCTAAATGGTCACCCATTTAGGTACTGACCAAGCTCAACGTTGCTTAAGTTGGAATTTAAGCTAGGTCCTTCGAACTCCAATTTCGAGCCATTAATCATTACACCACTCGCACATCCAAGCTTACAGCACCTGGTATTCCTAAGCGGTCACGCATTTAGATACTGAGCAAGCTCGACGTTGCTTCAGTTGGAATTGAAACTCGGCCCTCCGAACTCCAATTTCGAGCCATTATCCATTACATCACCCTCACACCCAAGCTTACAGCACCTTGTATTCCCAAGTGGTTACCCATCTCGCTATTGACCTGGCTTAATTTGGGTGATCGTACGGGTGATGCGTAAACCGTAAATTATTATGATTAGTATGCAAAAGTAAAAGGAATTCATTTACTTGTTGGTACTTGCTTGGTTGTCGTTGTAGTACTCGTCGTCTGGAGCATCTTAACGATACTTCTTGCCGATGAACCCCAAGGCCATCGCACTACAATGGCTTCAGAATCCCTGCACGATAAATTGTTGTCGAATAAATAACTTAGATTTCGAGACGAGAGCGGCTTCACTGAAAGATACAAAGATAAGGCATAGTTTTTAATTCAATAAAGTATTTTATCCAATAATAATCGATATATAGCATCAGAAAGAGACAGTTGACATTTCTAGAGCACATAATGAGGAAAGACACCGAAATCCGTAGGCGCATTTGGAATAACAAAAGACGCCTTTCAAAACCTACGCAAAGTATTAAACAATAGGAAAATTTCGTTAGATCTCTATCTATAAAAGGCAGGATGTGTGTGTGTGTGTGTGTGTGTATGTGTGTGTGTGTAACGAATGCACGGCCGCAATTTTCGACGGATTTGCACCAAAATTTACATGCACATGCTCAAAGTTAGCAGAAAGGTCAAGACCGACTTTGCATTTCCCAACTCCCATCGATAGTGGAAATAATCGATTTTTTTCATGCTTCTACGGCAGTTTTCATTTAGTTTGCGGCCATTTTGTACTGGCCAGAGTGAGAGCCTATAGCTGGCTGCCAAGAATAGGCAAGAAGATTCTATTGGCCAGCATGAGAGCCAACAGCTTACTGACACGAATGTTAACTAGCATGCAAAAGAAATCGATAGCTGTATTCGTCACAAGTGGGAAAAATTTAAATCTGCATGGCACTTTACTCCAATTGGCTCATTCGCTTGCTTGAACTCAACGTTGATTCTTTTTTCATTCGGTTTTTCCAGTTACGAGTCCTTTTTTAAAGCTGATCGTTTTGTGTTCATTTTGTTTAGTACTTTTTTTGTAACAGATTTAATGTTTAGTATAGAGCTTAGAAAAAATTCGCAGTGTGAGATAGGCAAGAAGTAAGGCATGTAGCAACATCAGCACGGCAAAGGGCACTCCTTTAAAGGCAAGGAAGGGCAAAAATATTTTAAGTCAAGTGAAAGCGATTACTGTATGAGTCGTACGATTTTTGAATCAAGCACGGGCAACGCCGGGCCATGCTGCTAGTAACAAATAAAAGCGTCTTGAACTGTTATCTATCTATACAATACTAAAAGTCTGCGATTGCGTGTGGTCCTTGTGTGGTGCGTCTGTCCGTCCGCCCGGCACATAATGATTTACGAGTTGTTTATACAGTAAGTATTCTTATTTTAATTTTCTTCAAACAGACAATTTTTTAATTAAAATTTTTTTAAGTTAAAGACAGACACAAAGAGATCCCGCTTTGCTGTTTCGTCCAGTTGTTTGTAGAGTAATTATTTATATTTAAGCTTTCTTTAAACAAACGATATTTAAATATTTAAAAAATATTTTTTGGCATATTTAAAAAATATTTTCAATTGAATATGATTTTAAAATATTTTTTGCATATTAAAAAATATTTTTAAGTTAATCTGATTTAAACTTCAGATTTATCCCGGAACTTATATTCTTATTAAATGCTGTAAACAATCAGTAAAAAGCTATACATGAATTTTTAAACTAGATAAATGATGACACAAACAAATTGAAATATTTAAGTGAATCATAATAAAATTAACTTTAATTTCAATGGTATGTTGAA